GAGTGCCAGACAAATAAACCAAGAAAAAGAAAACAGAAACAGAGTCAGAGACAGAGATAGAGATGGAGATGAAGATAGAGTCAGAGTCAGAGTCAGAGTCAGAGTCAGAGTCAGAGTCAGAGTCAGAGTCAGAGTCAGAGTCAGAGTCAGAGTCAGAGTCAGAGTCAGAGTCAGAGTCAGAGATTGATTTTTCTCATCTCACTCCTAATCTCTCTTCCTCTCTCCTCCCCCTTCCCTCATTCTCTACCTGTACCAAAGCTTTTCTGATCCGCTCTTTCACCCCAACGGCCCCCTTAGGGGGTGGGGGTATATCAACACCCCTCATTTACACATTGTTTTCAGGGGTAATCTTGACAGTCAATAGGCGAAAAGGGGGGTACGACTACCAGATAGTTGACTTACCGAAGACAACTTTAGACGGACCCCCCCCCCTCCCCCTATCCTACCCCCCACCCACCCACCCACCCACCCCGTAAGAAACCAACCCACCGCCCCCCTCCTGCTAGGAGGCCTGCTCCTGACGTTCGATTCTCCCTGCCCCTGCATCCCTTCCATCGCCTCCTCTCCATCCAATTTCTCTATCCCTTCCCTCCATTCCCTCCCCTCTATCCCTTCGTTACTTCTTTCCTCGTTTCCTCGTTTCCAACCTCACTTCCCCCTCGCCCCCCTCCCCCCAATCTCCTTCGTCAATCACATTGTTTATCCCTCCCCCCATTTCTCCTCCCCTCTCCTCCCCTCCTCTCTTCCCCCGCCTTCCCCATCTTTTTGGTCCTCTCCTGCTCTCCTTGCTCCATATCTCACCTCGTCCCGTTTTGTTGCACACAGCATTCAATCGAGTCCTGCCACTGTTGATTTCGTCATTGTTGCTCATTTCATTCATGATTTCATCAAAGTCCTTGAAAAGTCAAGGAAAACCGAAAAGGTCTTGTTGTGTGGACAGTTCCTCTACAAATACAGGCTACTTTGGCTCCGAAGTTTGACAATTTGATACTTTACATCTTAGTTTCCGTATGACAATCCCAATCCTCTTTCTTTTTGTTATTTGATAGATATGATGTCAATGTGACTGCACATGACAATCAATGAATTAATGTCTTTTTTACGAGGCTCCTTGTTACACTCTCTCTGCGCATCTCATTACTGATAGATTCAAAGTCAACCGCTCTATACTGTCCTGGTATTTCATTTGGTCTGCTGTACTCGAGTAAAGCGCAACATCCTTTCATCGCCTGCATTGCACAACTTTTCTGGCTTAGTTCGGATCGTCTGAAAAAGTAGCAACATTCAATACACAAGTGACTTACCACGTTCCGCATCCGGCCACAACATCCAATACGAGTCCACTCAAACAATCGACCCTCCCCTGCACAAGAATCAACCACCGGTTTTCATATGGAGGTGTTCGTTGGTTTTTTGGTTCGTCTGCCTGCCTGCCTGCCTGCCTGCCTGCCTGCCTGCCTGCCTGCCTGCCTGCCTGCCTGCCTGCCTGCCTGCCTGCCTGCCTGCCTGCCTGCCTGCCTGCCTGCCTGCCTGCCTGCCTGCCTGCCTGCCTGCCTGCCTGCCTGCCTGCCTCCCATCGTTCATCTCACGAACCTCACGACCATTTCACCAGCAGAGGAGCCATTAATAGAAAGATGCCGCAAAACAAGATCATTCTGATCCTGCTAAATCTTGATAATTTCTTTGTTTATTCCACATGGCAACTTAATCACATACAGACAAAAATAGTTAGCCGATTGCAAATTCTAGCTCCTGATTACTATTACACAGATTGCTCGCCCCCGCCATGCCTGCCATTTCAAGCATGCATGGGTTTGAAAGGACGAACAGTCAAGCATCTGGAATACTCAGGGCTTGTCTCGGAAGGCCTTCGATCGAATGAGTGACAACGCATCGCATTGATCTGGTTGGCATAGAATCTGCTCCCACTGCTCGCCTTGTTTGCAACCATCCACGAGTTGTTCGCAGATCTCATCTTGGTGTTGAAGCTTTCTGAGAAGCTCCGCACTTTCCTCATTGGCTGAACAGCCTTGCCGTTCATGGACTTCATTTTGTATGCTTTGCCTTCCTGCGGTTTTCTATTTCTAAGCGAAAAAACGATGAGAAAAATGGAGAAAACAACGATGTAAGAGACAGCTCCCCACATAAGCGCGTGCCGCTGCGCCTGCAGAGCTGCAATTTCACCATGTAATTTTTGCTTGAGCAAAGCAGCATGTTCAGCCATAAGTAACGAATCCATTGAGTTGGAGCCTATCTTGTTCATTGTCGATCAAACTCCAGCAAAAAACTGATTGCAGCGGAAGAAAAGAGAAGGAACCCCCGAAATCCGTCGGAAAGAAATGAGAGGAAGTGAAGATTTGGGTCCAGAGGTCTAGAGAAATACAATGAGAACAGATTTCTTATCTCAGAAATAGGTAGAGTCAAAAAAATCCTCCTTAGAAATTCCAAAAGAAAAGATGTGGAAAAGGCTGTTGGAGCTGCTCGTCTTCAATGCAAGAAGTTGAAAAATGAAAGAAGTTGCAGATGGAAGACTTGGAGAAGAGGAGGACGGAGGAAGTTCTTACAGGTGGAAAGGCGGAGGAGGGAATGAAAGTTCTTATGGGTAGGAAGGCGGAGGAGGAGAGGAGGGGATCGAGGCGGCGGGGGACAGGGGAGCGAGTAACTAAAGTCAGAGGAGATATCAGGAGAACAATCCTGGCCTAAAGGTGGGGTTCTATTCTTGGTGAAGGTACCCCCTCCTGAACCAGTGAGAAGAGGGGTACTCAGTTACTTCCGAGGGTTGCAACTCATTTTTGGGGGGGGTGGGTAAACATGCGTTGGGTTCATTGTAAAGACCGAGGGGCCGGAAGGTGCAGTGTGAAAAAGTTAGGGGGTCTAGAGAGGTATTTTCTTATGTTGAATCATAATACATTGTAGGCATCCCTTGACCCTGACTCTCGGATCAGGCAACTCCTTCGTTACATAAGCACTAGTTATAAAATACTGATTAATGCTGAAAAAACAGTTTTAAAACGAAAGGAGTGACATACCTTGGGGAGCAAGAGCATACATTCTATAAGTGGAGCTCTAATCAAAGTCACATATCCAACCAATGGACCTCTCCAGAGGAGCACGGCCAGAATCGATCACTTTTTTGGTATTTTACTGCAGCCAAAAACTGTCAGTGGGTCACGTGGCGTGGGTCACAGACCTCGTTCCAATCTCGAGATTCTCCTCCTCTCGGACCGGAACTCCGCCGGCGACATTTCACAGTTACAACACCAGGCTCGCCTCAGTGTGATTCCCGAGTTCACTGGCGGCCCGGACAGTCGCCCGGCGGCTTGTAAGGAATAAGGCTCATAACCTGATTATCCTAAAGCTTTCTGAGCTCGTTCTAGTAGTTGTGCCCCAAAGGCCAGTACCCCACCCTCTACCCAACGAAATGCAGGAATGATGGGGGTGGGGTAATAAATTGAAGGAGTCCTTGGGCCACTACTAATGTGTGAGTGCTCAGGGTGGGGTCATCAGATCTATTAGGGGGGTAGGTATAGAAGGCAGGGGTGGTATTAATATGAGAAGGCAGGGTACTTGGTGGCAGTAAGGGGGTCATTGAAACCAGGGTGGATGAAATCATCTGGGTAGGGTGGGTGGTAGATGAGGAGGTGTACTGGTAGCCGAAAGATTTCATGGCGTGAGGGCCATCAAGGAGGAGGAGGAGGAGGAGGAGGAGGAGGAGAGGAGAGAAGAGGATAGGAGGACGGAGAGATACAAGGGAGGTAAACTGTAGATGAGAGATGGAATGGAGGAGGGACGGGCAGTCTTGATTGAAAGCAAAGGATTAACGAAAGTGATTAGGACGTATGTACAAAACAGAAAATGAAGATCTCCCGCAGCGCAGTGACGGGTGAATGGGGGGAGCGGTATTAGAGGAAAGAAATTATTATATGAAGAAAGTGGAGGAGGAGGAGGAGGAGGAGGAGGCGCTCCTTGAAGACCACAAACTTAGTACACGGAAGATGATGCGAGAAAGATCAGGTTTAGATGTAACATCATGCTGAGAAGGGGCTACTATCACTTGAAACCTTGTTTCATCGCAAACCTTTCATGGAATGCGTTGATGGCTGGTTTAAAGCTGAATATGCTCAATATAATGATATCATTCGCTCGTCACCAAATCGAAATAGAGTCGAAACGTCAAAATGTGTTTTTGCTCAGTTTGGAGGTTGATTTGATGATCATGCGTTTCTGATGTTCATGTCAGGGCCGAAAGGGAACAGAAAAGGCTATATGCTCATATCACACGTATAAGAAAGCACCATCATGATGCTCTTATGGCTGCTGCTCCTTGCGTCACTGCCGCTAGAAGCTGAGCAATCCTGCATCGGGCTACTGGCACAAGTGAATGTCATTTCAGAGGATTCTGCAAACTTGTTGTTCTTTCAACGTCCTTCTCATCTTCTCGCTCCAAGGTCTGGGTCGAAGGCAGCTTGTCGAGTGCGATGTGAGAGGGGGCTTGTGATGGGGATGAAGAAGAGGGGATCGAGGTCGTCGTTCAACAACAGGGAGGAGAATGAGCTCAACGGCGTGTTACAAGAGATACAGAAGCTTACCAGCGACTCGAGCCTCTCGCAGGTGTCAAGATCCGACGTGCTTGTTGGGGTCGGAGCTGACTGGCTGCCGTCAGGTTGACAAGATCAAGATGATACGTCAGCTGATGCCTCCTCCTCTCTCCCCCGAAGAGACTGAGCCTGGCATGCGAGGGGAGACGCTCGTCGCGAAGAGCTTCGGACATCTCAATGATCTTCTGTTCCTTGACTCCTGGGATGAGACAAACGGTCATCGTCCACTCAAGCTGTAAGCTTTCTTGCTCCTACTCCTACTCCTTCTCCTGCTCCTGTCTGACTTGTCCGTAGGTTCCGAGGAGTACCAGATGTGAACATGAAGCTGCTCACGTCACTTCAGCGGCTTGTCATGGATGGTGATGGGCGGCGTGCTGTGTCCCTGGAAGCCGCAAGGAGGCTGGAAGAAGGGATGGTGGAGAGTTTCAAGAAGTGAGTAGATGAAACTCGACCTGTGTGATGCTGTGACATCCAATCTTGTCTTTTGCTTTCTAACGTGATTATTTGTGAACCTCGTGATGTGACCTTGTTTGTGTGCGATGTTGCATGACGTTCTCTGCGCTGTTTACACTTCTTGTTTGTTTTGCGCACCATTTCAGTGTCCTCGATCATGGATGGTGTTTTCATCCCACACACCAACTCAATTCATTCTGCCCGCTCACATGACCCTTGCCAAACATTGTCTCATACACGTCAGGTACGCCTACGGCATGGCGAACTTGGGTCCTTCTCCCACTCTCTGGGAGTGGTTGGCATTAGCTCAGGTTGATAATAGACCTGAGGAGGGGGTTGGGAGGGCAGCGAAAATCGGAGGGAGATATGAAGGAAAAGGAACGGGATGCAGGGGAGGGGAAGAGGAGGAAGATGAAGAGGAAATCAATCTGATATAATGAGCAGCATCATGGACTTCCCACAAGGCTGCTTGACTGGACGAAGTCTCCCTATGTGGCCCTCCACTTCGCTACTTGCAAGGTCACCAGAGGAGGAGGAGAAGGAGCAGGAGCAGGAGCAGGAGCAGGAGCAGGAGCAGGGGAGCAGGAACAGATCGAGGTTGAGACAGGGGGAGTAGGAGACGATGGAGGGCGGTGAGGGAGGAGTAAGAGGAGATGTAAGGGAGGGAGGGAGGAGGGAGGATGACACGCAAGATGCAGGCAGCTCTGATGGATAGCGACGCTGTCGTGTGGGTGATCGATCCCTTCCGATTCAGCATGGAATTTGAGGTTACACCTGCGCTTCTCCTGCCTTTCAGTCTTCTCAACCTCCCTCTCCCTCTCCTCCTCCTTATCATCATCATCATCATCATCATCATCATCATCATCATCGTCGTCGTCGTCATAAGCAACAACAAGAACATAGACAACAATGTCATCTTTTTCACTATCATCACCACTATCATCATCATCAAAACTTCCAACAGCTCATTGTCTCCATCATCAGGTGTTCCAAGACTACAACAACTGGAGGAAAAACACAGGGAGGAGACGGTGTGGAGGAGTTTTCAGGTTTCCACTTCGCTCCCTCCCTCCTCCTCGTCCCTTGCCGATGAATCCGCTCACACGAGAATTCAACAGCACGGGAGAGCTCGAGGGGCTGTACAGATGGAGGACAGCCAAGGACAAGTATTGAATCCCTTCCTTCCCCTGCTCCTTTACTCCTTAATTGTACTCTCGTCGTTG